CGCTCCAGGCCCGCGCTCCAGGCCCGCGCTCCAGGCCCGCGCTCCAGCTGCAGACCCTGTCTGACCACCTGCCTATTCCCACCGGCTACAGCTGTTCCCCCTCACGGCCCCCTTCCTCTGGGAATCCCTGGAGCCCTGCTGGGTTCCGACTAGCTCCCACCACTTGTGAACCCAAGGGTCTACAGCACAGCCGATCTATCCCCACCCCCAACTACCCCCTGGCCTGTAGAGGCACTTAGAATTTTAAAGCAAAAGACACTTGGACCCTCACACCAGCACCCTTCCCTGGCCCTCAGGGCGGGTGGGGTGGAGAGAAAGACACCTGGGCTTCCGCTCTGTGCCAAGCACAGGATTTTATGCACAGATGTATTGGCCCCATAAGTTCAAGGGCAGGTGTGACAAGCCCAGCTCCCTCGGGGTGCCCACCCTGGCCTCCTGGGCTCATTCTGCCACCGGAGCCTGCAGGTCCCAGGGGCCCATTTCAACAAGAGGTAACCCTCTGCTCCTCCCTCCACCCCAGCACACCCTCCAAGAGTCCCTCCCCCCACCCCCCCCCAGGTATCTTCTGCCTCATCTGTGGCTTTGTGACCTCGGAAATGGGGAGGTAGCAACAGCCACACTCATGGCCTCCACTTTTTCTAGGGGCCTCGACGAGGATGCTTGCAGCTTAGCTTCTGAGCTTAGTTCTTGGAGGAAAAAAGGCAAGTGCTGCTGAGGACCCTGGGGCTGGTGGGGGAGGCTGGGATGAGCCCAGGGGCTCTCCTGAGATCACACAGCAGGGAACAGCATGGACAGGAGCCCAGGTGGCTCCGCAGCCCGTCCTAAGCTCACCCGTGCTCCCCTCACACCCAAGCCCACAGCCCAGCCTGTGCAAGAAAGGCTGCCCTCACCGGAAGGCGCCGTCCCGTGTGATGGAGCCCTGTGGCCCCATTCGGACGTCGATGTCTGACACCAGCTGGTTCTCATAGAGGAGCTGGTTGCCAACCACCTGTGGGAGAAGGACAGCTGGGTGAGGCCCTCCCAGGGGGGTGGTCCTGGGCACCAGGCCATGGCCCCACTCCTACCTGGACGGTGGTCCCACAGTGGGTCAGAGGGAATTGGAAGACCACGAAGGACCCCGTGTCCTGAGTCGGGGAGCAGCTGGTGGGGGCATAGGCCACGTGGATATTGGCCAGCGTGATCCCATGTGCCAAGGCTGTTTCTTGGGACACCACCAGGACGAAATGGCCATTTCTGAAGCACTGGACAGTTGCTAGGACGAAGGCAGATCAAAGAGGCCGACCAGGACCTCGGAGTTAAGTGTCCGTGCGGCAGACGTGGGGGGTGGGCTGGGAGACAGTACTTAGGTGTTGCCCTGGGAGTCGGGAGACCTGGCTTCTCTTACTCTCTGTGCCTGTGGTGGCTTGAGCAAACCCTTTACAGACCCAGATTTTCTTGTGCATGGAAATAAACTACGAAAGTAGGGGCACTGTTGAATTTGTCATCTAAACTGGGATGTCCTAGGGGTGTCTGGCTCAGCTGGACGAACATGGGACTCTATCTTGGAGTCATGAGTTCGAGGCCCACGTTGGGTTGTGGCGATTACTTAAATAAACTTAAACTGGAATGTTCTAGATCTAAAAGGTAGGGGTACATGCAAAGACAGATCTATTAGGGGGGCGCCTAGGTGGCTCAGTTGGTTAAGTGTCTGACTTCGGCTCAGGTCGTGATCTCATGGTTCGTGGGTTCGAGCCCCACGTCGGGCTCTGTGCTGACAGCTCGGAGCGTGGAGCCTGCTTCGGATTCTGTGTCTCCCTCTCGCTCTGCCCCTCCCCTGCTTGCGCTGTCTCTCAAAAATAAATAAACGTTAAAAAAAAAAAAAAAAGATAGATCTGCTACTAGTTCCTTGGGACAATGGTTATCAGGCAAGCTGGGACCTGTGGTCCCCCCATCTAAAGGTCCCGTCTGCGGCCCATTCTCCATTCGGGGGCTCAGGCTCTCCTAGGGACTAGGTGTGAAGCAGTTGCAGTGTTGGGGGAGGGGCAGGGGAGGAAGCCTTCCAGTCCTCATGGCTTCCGGTTTCAGGTGTAGAAAGGCCTACCTGTGTTGCCATAGTAACAGGGAACCGCTCTGCTGTGGTCATAGCAGCAGCCAGCCTTCTGACAGGCTTCCTTCGAACCTCTTCTCACCACACAGGGGATGTGCCCAGAGGGCACCTGGCACTGCTCCCAGGTCAGAGGTGCCCCTGGGGAGGGGACAGAGCGGTGAGGACACAAGAAAGGGCCACACTGGGCAGGAGACTTCCAAGGGAAACAGAGGCAGCTGGCTTCCTGGGCCCAGTCAAGGGCGAACAGGCAGTTCGCTGCTCCAGAAGGCCCAGACACAGTACACGCACGGAGAAGTCCTACGTACCTGGATGAAGGGGCTCGTCAACCCCCCAGTGTTCCAAGATGTCCCACTGGGGCAGAGTCAGGGTGGGACGGGTGGCTCCAGGTCTAAGGGGCAGCAGGGCAGGGGTCGGACGGGTGAAGCTGTGCTCCTGGGTGGGGCGGAGGGGCCGGGTAGGAGGAGTAGGCAGGGAGAAGCCTGTGCGTGAGGCCAGGTGGGACTCCGGAGTCCAGGTGTGGCCAGGTTTAGGACAGATCAGGGTGACCTCTCCTGCCGCGTCAACTCGACCGTCGCGCAGCACGGCTTCTACGAACACCCTCAGGTGGAAGCGCCCGTCCTGCAGGTGAGAAGGTGACCAGAGAGCAGCTAGGTGAGGCCACCGGGCCTCCCAGGCAGAGGAGGGCGTCAGGCAGGGAGCTGGATTTGTGGGCTAGCCCCGGTCACCAGCCCACAGGCGGGCGTGACCAGCACAGCGATCCCGAGCTCCCTCTCGGGCTTGTGTGAGGTCAAGCTGGCTCCCAGCCGTGGGGCCTGCCCCGAGCTCAGCAGCGATCCCTACCTTCTCCAGCACGTGGCAACCTCTGTAGTCAGCGGAGAAGACGGCGGGTCCCAGGGGCCTGGCGGTGACCCAGTGGTAGCAGACAGAGCAGTTGTGGACCTCGAATTGGTTCCCAAATTCATCTGAGGCAGGGGAGACAGGGATGGACGTTTGGGAGGGCCAGCAGTGCTGAAGGGTGAAGCCAGGGGCTGCTGGTGACCGCTGAGAAAACCCCACTCGGGAGCGGGAGACCCCAGCTTCAGCCTTAGCTTGGGGAGTCGCTGCCGGTGTGTTCTTGGCCAGGCCCCTCCCCTCTGGTCTCAGTTTGCCCATCTGTAAGGGAATAGCTTCAGCTGGTCTTAGGATCCTTCCCGCTGTGGTTCCCCGTTAACAGTACTGGACGGCAAGCAGGAATGAAAACTTGGAGGAGAAAAGGTTAGTACAGTCCCAGGCAGCAGGCTGGGTATTTGTTTTATTTAAAAGTTTTTTTTAAGGTTTCTTTATTCTTGAGAGAGAATGTGAGTGGGGGCACAGAGACAGAGAGAGAGAGAGAGAGAGAGAGAGAGAGACAAAGAGACACAGAATCGGAAGCAGGCTCCAGGCTCTGAGCTGTCAGCACAGAGCCCGATGCCGGGCTCAAACCCACGAACCGTGAGATCATGACCTGAGCCGCAGTCGCTTTACTGACTGAGCCACCCGGGTGCCCCTGGGCTGGGGATTTTAAACCTGTTCTTGTAAAATCAGGGATCCCCATTCTGTGGCTGAGGCGCTGAGTGTGAGTCTTCTCAGCTGCACACAATGAGGGGCAGAAGGATTTGGAACTGGGATCTTGTGACCCGTCTGCCCGGTTCCCCGGCCCTTGCAGTCCTGGGGGGGGGGGGAACACCTGCTGGGTGTCCACCCACCTTGCCCGCCCAGAGCACCAGGGCACCCCTCGGGGGCGGGCATGACCCCTGAACTCCTGTTTAGGGCACATGGCAAGGCTGGGGTCACCGTTCCCATCTTACAGTTAAGGAAACAGGGGTTCAGAGAGGTCAGGTCAGTTGTTCAAGAACACAAAGTTGAGAAGCTGCAGATTCAAATCCCCCCTCCAAACCCACTCCCGTTTTCTCCGTACCAGGCCACAACCACCAGGGCCCTGCCCCTCGGAGGGGCCTGGGGGCCAGCAGCCTGGGCATCAGCTGACCGTGGTCACCGACGCAGAGCCTGGGCCCTAGTGAAACCAACACCTGCCTCTCAGCAAGATGGTCGTGAACACTCGCCGTGGGAAAAGAGGCCCTGGGTGACCAGGGAAACTGAGGCTGGCAACTCACCTTCCTCCCTCCTCCTCCCCCTCCCCAGTGTGGTGACAGAGTGGGGGCCGAGGGGCCTCTCCTCGTCCTGCTGCACGGGAGGTGGGGACCCGCGTCCGGCCATGCTCACCTACGACCTTGAAGCGGACGGTCTGGCCCAGCCGGGGGAACACCAGCAGCTGCATGCCCTTGATCCCACAGTCAGAGCTGTGCCGCAGGCCCCGGAGACCAGGCTCAGGGTGCGGCTGCTGCCCCAGCCCCAGAGCGGCCACCAGCAGCAGCAGCAGCAATGCCACGCAGCCATCCCAGACCATGGCCGAGGCTCTTGTCATCAAATACACCACGGCCACCATAACGATCCCCACTCACTCATGACCCGGTGACGCCCAGGCCTTATATGGGGGAGGTGGTGACTGGAAACTTCTAGGGGCAAAGGGGGCCCACCTGGAGGAGCCTGGCCACCAGGGGCTCTGGTGAAATTCCCTCCCTGAAGGCCAAAGAAGGCACCCTCCCAGGCCCGGGCCCTGAAGGTGCTCTGAAAATTGCCCCTCACCCTGACTTCCTGCCTTCCAGCTGGGGGTTGATGCTGGCTCCGCTGAGTGATCCTGGCTGGGAGGTGGGGAGGAGGGAATCTTCTGGTACGGTTGAGGCTGCAGGCAGGTGGAGGAGGTGGTTCCAAGTCCCTCAGCATCCCTTCCCTGCCCAGTCTGGCTCTCCAGGGCCTCCTGTCTGCACTGGGGCCTCCGGGCCACCGAGAGCTGCGGGGGCCGTGGGGGCGGGCAGCAGGCTGGGTTAATTTACTAACCGGGCCCTCGGACGGCTGTGCAGGCCCCAGAGGCCGAGACACTGCCCCTGCCCTAAGAGTGTGCAGATGGATGGTGGGCGGACAGGTTGGTAAACAGACTAGTGGCCCCTCACGGGGCTGTCCTGAGGGTCAGGACATCAATGGGACCGTGGCTGTTACTAATGGAAAATAACAAGGATGGACAATAAATATAACGGGGCCTCCTGGATGGGATCCTGGCGCAGAACAAGGACTTTAGGTAGAGGCCAAGGAAATGGACTTAAGTTTGTAACAGTGGATCGACAGTGGTTCATCAACCAATAAACGTACTGCCCCAATGTGAGATGGTAACTGTACGGGGCCCTGGGTGCGGGGAACCTGGGACCTCTGTGCTAAATCCTGGGCAGTTCAGAGAAGTAAAGTCTATTAACCACAAGCAGACTGGCTCACAGGTGGCAGGGCCCCCCACGTGCCAGGCTGTCCCAAAGCCTCATTACCGCCGTCCTCATGTCAGGGGAGCGCCTCGCCCCGGCCCCACCAGCCTTAGCCAATGCCGCTGAGCGTGGGCCACGGCAGCTGGCACGTGGTGGATCGGTCCTTAAGAGTCAGGCTCCAACCCAGCCCCTGCTTCTTTCTAGCCGGGCCACGTCACTTTTCTCTGCTTCCTTTTCCGGCTTGTGAATTGGGGATGATAATCCAACCTCGCAGTGTGGACAGAAAGACGGACGGCGACGAAGAACGGGCGGGACAAGTTCTCTGTGGTCACGACTTAGCGCTTGGCGGTGACGAGGTCTGCCGTGACGAGAGTTTACGTGGGGGAAGTTCGGTGGGTCACCCGGGGTACAGAGCGGGTTAAGGGATGGGCCAGGCCGGGGTAGGGGTGGTCAGAAGTGTGGGGGGCACAGGGGATGGTGGTGGGGGTACTGTGTTGAGGCAGAGGGAATTGGGGGAGATGAAGGCATAGGGCTGCAAACGTGGACTTCAGGCTGGTCTGGGCCCCTGGAGGGAGTGGGGCTGGTGAGGGGGGTTTTTCCTGAAGGACAAGGGAAGGCTTTAAAGTTAGTTTGAAAGCATTTCAGACTTACTGAAAAGAATCTCCCTATACCCTTCACGTAGATTCCTTGAATGTTAGCTGTTGTTAAAAACAAGACAAAAGGGGGTGCCTGGGTGGCTCAGTCAGTTAAGCATCTGACTTCGGTATAGGGCATGATCTCATGGTTTGTGAGTTCGAGTCCCACATCAGGTGAGCTCAAGCCCCGCTTCCGGTGAACACGAGCCCTCGCTCCCTTCTGCCTAGAAAAGCCTTTTTGGACAGCTCCTCAGGGCGCCTTCCTGTTAGACTGGATGTTGCCGGATTCACGAACGGTCGCAGAAAGCCAAGGGGATGTTTAAAACGTACTCAGTTGCACTTTATTTTTCAACGCTGTGTCTCTTCACATTTGTTTTAGCTCTTCCTCTTAGCTCTTTCTGTTATGTACACAGACACCCACGTCCACACTTTCTCCCTTCTCATCTGAGAGCTGGTTGCAGATGGTCCTACTTTACCCCCAAACACTGCAGACGGTACTTCCTAAAACACAAGGAAAATGATCCGAACCAGATCAACACTGGCGTAACACCAGTGTCTCACGTACAAACCTTACTCAGCTCCCCAACTGTCCTAATCGTGACTTTTACAGCAAAGGGCAAAGTTTGTTTTTCCCTCGACTAGGATCCAATACGAGACCCAGATGATGCTTCTTTAGGCTTTTCCAACCTGGCACAGTCCGTGATTCTTTGTTCTTCATACCCTTGATGTTTTGAGGAGTACAGGCCAGTTTCTTTACAGGATGGCCCTCCCTCGGCTTTGTCTGGTGTGTCCTCCTGCTTAGATCCAGGCTATGCATTTTTGGCGGTGTATTAGTTTGCTGGGTCTGCTGTAACAAAATACAGCCACGTAGGCGGCTTCAACAATAGAAATTTATTCTCTCACAGTTCTGGAGGTTGGAAGTCCAAGGCCAAGGTGTTGGCAGGTCTGGTTTCTCCTGCAGCCGCTCTCCTTGGCTTGCCGATGGCTGCCTCCTTGCTGTGTCCTCATGTGGTCTTCTCTTGGCTCTCTGTGGGTCCAGATTTCCTCCTCTTATGAGGACACCAGTCAGACTGGATTAGAGCCCACCCTCACAGGCTTATTTTAACTTAACCACCCCCTAAAGGCCCTGTCTCCAAATACAGCCACATTCCAAGGTGCTGGGGGGTTGGGCTTCCACATACGAACGGGGTGGGGGGCAGGGGGGGAACAATTCAGCCCGTAACGGGCAGGAATAGCCCAGAAGTGACATTGTGTCCTTCTCAGGGCATTCTGTCAGGAGGCTCATCATGCTGGTTTGTCCTATCGCTGCTGATATAAATCCAAACACTTGGGTGGGATGCGGTCTGCCAGGTGCCTCTGCGGTCAAGTTACTGTTTCTCTTTGAATACAGGAGACACCTTGAGAGTGGGTATGTGACCACCTTGCTCCTTAGCAAACAGTCACCCACGGGTGCGGTGGTTTCCTGGCTCCATCATTCCTTCCACGTGTATCTGCTTTTCTGCCATAACAGGTCGGTCTCCCTGCGAGGAAACAGGGCTCAGGTGGTGGAGAACCCCCCCCCCCCAACCCCCGCCAGAGGAGAACCTGGATTCTGTCCTGTGCTCACTGCTCAGGGGCAAAGGGATCTGCTCCCACCAGTAAAGTAGAAATGGGAATGATTACGGTAGGGATGGAATCTGATATACAGAAAGGTCCCTGCACACGAAGGCAATGTGTCCCCCGAGGCCCTGGAAAGGCAGGAAAAGAGCAAGGGAACTTCCTCACGGCCAAGGGCGGAAGGATGCCTTTGAGAAAAGTTGTGCCAAGCTGTCCTGGAGAGGGGGAGCCCTGAACCCTTGGTTAGGATTCCAATTCTTGCAAAGGCTCATGGGCACCACAGCTCATCAGCCTGGGAAGGATGTCAGCTCCTCTGCTGACATTGGAGACCATGTTGCCTTGATTTCCTCATCTGTGTAATGGGGCCAATAACTACCTAACTCGTAGGCTGGCCGTGAAGGTGAAATGAAAAGACCCACGTGCAGCGTTGAGAGCAAAGCCTGCATCACTTGAACACAGTGGCAATAAAAGCCACCACTGTTCTTACTGCAGAGGAAAGAGGGTCAGATCAGAGTGACCAGACTTGGGATTTCGGCTTCCCACTTGGCCTCTTTCTAAACCTCAGTTTGCTCATCTCTTCTTACCATTCTATTTTCTTCTTACCGTTTTACATTTCTTTTTTTTTTTTTTTTCAACGTTTTTATTTATTTTTGGGACAGAGAGAAACAGAGCATGAACGGGGGAGGAGCAGAGAGAGAGGGAGACACAGAATCGGAAACAGGCTCCAGGCTCTGAGCCATCAGCCCAGAGCCCGACGCGGGGCTCGAACTCATGGACCGCGAGATCGTGACCTGGCTGAAGTCGGACGCTCAACCGACTGCGCCACCCAGGCGCCCCTACATTTCATTTTTTAAAACGGGGCTTCACTTACTTAATCTGTAAAATGGAATTAAGAATAAGATCCACCTAGGGGCGCCTGGGTGGCCCAGTCGGCTAAGCGTCCGACTCTCGGTTTCGGCTCAGGTCATGGTCTCACGGTTTGTGAGATCGAGCCCCGCGTTGGGTTCTGCACTGACCACTCAGAGCCTGGAGCCGGCTTGGGATTCTTTCTCCTTCTCTCTCTGCCCCTTCCCTGCTTGTGCTCTCTTTCTCTCTCTCTCTCAAAATAAAGAAATAAACTTAAAAAAAAAAAAAGAAAAAGATAAAGATCAACCTCGCTGGGGTGCCGTGAGCCAGACGGGCTCACTGAGTTCTCCGTCCTGTCTCTCCTGCTCGTGAAAGCCAGGGACAGAAGGAGGGTGCCACGGGAGGACGGGGCCTCTCCCGACCGATACATGTGAAGTGCTGAGTGGGGTGCCTGACACGTAGTGGGTACCCCATAAATGTTAGCTAGGGCTATCGGTAGTGGGTTGGGTGGTGACCCCTCAAAAAATAGGTCTGTGGCAAAAGCCCTGGAAACGGGGAACACAGCCACAGCAGGTAATAACAACACCGACTTTGACGGTCTCTGAAGCACAGGGCTTGACTTTTCTCTCACAGAGATCTTGTGGTTCACCGCTTACGGTGTGGCCTTCAGTTGCTTCCAGAATGAGGTTCTCAGCCAATATGTGAGTGGGAAAGGCAAATGCAATCTGTCTGGAGTCAGGAAGAGACTGAAATAAAAGCACACGGCACTGAAAATAACTAAATGGCAGCTGGTTCGTGCATCCCTGCCCCGTGGGGGCCGTGAGCTGAGCAGTTGGCTCATTATTTCCTCTGATCCTCGAAGCAGGAGGGAGGGAGGTCACGGAAGGCCCTCGGCTAATACCAGACCCCAAGGACCATGATTCTCCTTTCCAGTGGGTCAGCGATCTCTGTGGTCCCCCTGAACCAGCAGCCCCGGCATCTCTTGGGGCACCTGATGGAAATGCAACCTGCTGGACCGGACGCTCTGGGGTAAGGCCCAGCGTCCTGGGTTCAACAAGCCCTCTGGGAGATGTACACTCAGCTGCACATTACTGGTCTCTGCTATTTATTGCAGGCCCTCGCCAAAGGCCTGGGTCACCCTCCTCCGGACCCTGCTCTCCGTGAGGGCCCTTGGCACTCTTTCTTTTTTTAAATTTTTTCTTTAATGTTTATTTTTGAGAGAGACAGAGAGAGAGAGAGAGAGAGAGAGAGAGAGAGAGAGGCAGAGAGAGAATCTGAAGCAGGTTCCAGGCTCTGAGCCGTCAGCACAGAGCTGGACTTGGGGCTCGAACTTATGAATCGCAAGATCATGACCTGAGCTGAAGTTGGACGCTTAACTGACTGAGACCCCCAGCCTGTGCTCTTGACACTTGGTCGCTGGAGGCTCCTGTCCTCTGCTTCCAGCCAGCAAGGCCCTGCCCCAGGCCCCCTCTGCTCCCGAGGCTTGCTCTCAGAGGGGCAGACACAGGCTGTTGGTTCCTGCAACCAGCCGGGAGGAGGCTCGTCGCACCCCAGCATCGTACACGTAGAGACTGTGGGTGGCACACGGGCTCTGGGAATACGTTCCCAGAGGTCTGTCTCCACCGTGGGAGTGCAGCCGAGGGGCCCCACGGGGACAAACGTCACTGCCTCCTTCTTTAGAAAATGCCTTTAGGGCCCTGTTCATCTGGAGTACTTTTTTGTTTGTTTTAGCAGCTTTTAAGTTGTCCTCAGGGAGGAGGGTTGGGAGATGAGCCACTTGGAAACAAGGGTTGGGGGAAAGGTCTGAGGAATGAAGATTTCAGGTACGAAGCCCCTTAGCGGGGCTGTCCTGAGAGATTGTGCAAGATGTTCACTGCACAAGGGGGCAAGGGAGGGCAGAGATCCAGTGGGGAGGGAGGGGGATAAAGGGGGGGGATTCTTTTTTAGCCCCCAAAGCAATTTGTGCACCGACTTCTGCACTTTGGGGAAGGGGCTGGGCAGGAGTCCTTTGTAAAAATTCTACTGCCGTGAAGTTACTTGCCCAAGTCACACGCCAGGGAGTGGCAGTGCCAGATCCAAACACAGGCGGTCGGGCCCCAGAGTCCCTGAGCTTACCCACCACCCTCCACTGCATGACCTTAGAGGATGTTCATGGGTCAGCAGGGCAGGGGTGGGGTGGGTGCTCCTTTCCCTGAAGCAGAATGGAGGCACCTGCCTACTTTCTTGGGAGGGCTGTAGGCACTTGCCTCCAAGACCGAGCCCCCTGTGACCTACAGGAAAGGACGCCTCCCAGCGCTCATATTTTGGATAATCAAGGCTCTTACCGATCTGCCACTTTGGGCTGCAGCGAGAAATACTATCCCCATCACATGGTCCTGGTATTTTATACATTCTTCACTCAGGATCGCAGGCTCTCAGCAAGTTCGTGAAGCTCCAGGCCCTGAAATTTAGCCTGTGTCTAAGTGGAAGACTCCTGTACGCTCAATCCCGTGGGAGGGGGTGCCTTGCCCTGATACGGGGGACACTGGGGTTTTAAACATGTTTTACTGAGACCCTCCGACGTGCTGGGACGCTGGGTTTGAAGGAACGGTTCCTGACCCCGGGAAGCTTGGTCAGCAAGGACCTGGGGAGCAATTAAATGCAAATTTATAAAGCTCTGTCAGCTCACAGCCCACTTTAAATAAAAGCTGTATTGCCCTCGCCCTATAGCCTCTACCCATTTCCTCCCCGGAGGGGACAAGGACTGACTTCTAAGAGCACCTCCCCGTGTGCGGGGCGCTCTGTGAACGGAGGCACCTCGCTGCCAAGCCTTCGAGGTAGATGCTGTCGCTCTGCTCACGATGGCCAAACCCGGCCTGGCAAGCGGAAGTGGCTCACCTCCCAGCTGCGGCTGCAGGGCTGGCCCGGCCCCGCTCTGCCCACTGCCGCGCCCTGCCTTCCTGAGGATTCTGGGGTGAGGAGAGGGCAGCCAGGACGGTGGACATGTGCCCAAGATGTCCTCTTCCTCATGCCTCTCTCCCACGCAGCGGTTGCTCGAAAATGCAGCCCCCGATGCACACTCCCATTCCCCCACGGGCACGCGTACCGACCTGGGGCTTCTGCCAAATCTCCTGTGTAAAGGGAGGGGGTTGAGCACGGGCTGCCGGCAGTTACGTCCCTTTCCCATTGATGGAGATAAATGTTACTGGAATACCAGTGTGACAAGTCAGCCTCCACTGTCCCCGCCTCCCCAGACCCCACCCCTAAACACACACACACACACACACACACACACACACACACACATGCACGCATGCACACACACGCACACACACACTCCGGAGCTGATAGCTATTTCCTCCCTCAGCCCCACTCCCCTGCCTCTGCCTGCTGGTGACTCGGTGACTCGTCTGGCTGCCACCAGAAGCTGTCTCTGGGGCTGGAATCCTGTGCTCCTTCTGTGCCCAGGTAAGGAAGCAATAATAGCCCAGGGGCTCGGCAGCCTTAGTGCCCTCTCTGGATCCATGAAGGCACAGTTTTAAGTCAGGATGGCAGAGGGCTGGATTTCCCGAAGACTGGAGGGGACACACGGCTCAGAGAAGCAGAGGGCACAGGGGTAAGCACCAAAGCCCTCTTTCCAGACTCACAGCAGTCTGGGTGGGAGGATGACAGGGGGAGTCTTAGGGTAACTGACTCTAAAAGCTTGCATTCCCTGCCCCTGACCCCCACCCAAAGCAGGACCCTGGCTGCTGGGCTCCATGACTCCCGGGAGGCTGGGGGCCGACTCCATGCAGCCAGAAAGACTGATCCCGATGGGTCCCCAGGGTGTAGCAGGACTGTGCTCTCTGAGCATCCCCATGAGACCTGGCAAGAGGCTGCTGCGCTGAAGGGAATGTTCCAGTGCAGAGAGGGGATGGCATTCATCTGTCTGCAGGGTGGAGTCCCAGCTGTACCACTGCAGCTGAGGAATGGTGGGCAAGTTGCTATGCTTCTCCGGACCTCAGTTTTCTCTTCTGAAAAACGGGGTCTCACAGGGTCACCGCGAGTGTAACTGTTCTGCAAACTGTAAAGCTTGAGAAGCGTAAGCATTCTTGGGGAGCACGGGCCCAACTGCTCCCCCCGCCCCGCCCTGCCTGCGATCCTGGGGCTCATATGCTTGGAAGAGTCTAGTCTGATCTCTTGGGGCCTCTCCTTCCAGAGGCCCATGCTACCTGGAGAAGACTGTGGGTTTTCTCATCCCGGCCAACAGTGTTACCCCTGGAAATGTGAGTACTGAAGACCACCCCCCCGCTTCCTTCTCTTCTTGCTTACGGCAGAGGTAGAGGAAAGAGAACACAGTGAGCGTTAAACTGTTGCTTCCCCGCTTGTCTGTTATTTGGGTGGCTTGAGCCTCGGCTTCCACGCCTGTAAAATGGGATGGAGTGAAGGTCTAGTGCCTTTTTTCTAGAGTCCTGAGCAAGAGAGCGCTTTTCTAGAGTCCTGAGCAAGAGAGCAAGAGAGCGTAAAGGACCTACTGGGATCTTTGGCGCATAGTGGGGCCTCAGGACAATCTGAATTCCCAGTCCCTGCCAGCCATCCTATGCCTCCTGCCGGCAGCCTCCCCCACCACCCCCCTGCCCCCCCTGCCCTTGTGGATCTCAACCAGCCTCACATCAGGAAGTCTTGGGGTTTTGATGAAGCTGTGGGTGTGCACATCTGGGGTGTCCGCACATCTGCCAGAGGCTGGCTTCCCCAGCGCTTACCTGAGTAGTTTCTCAACCACTACCTGCTGAATGAATGCGTGAGTCAGTAAAGGAATGGGTTTCCTGGGGCAGGAGGGTGGCCCGGTGCCCTTGGGCAGAAGGCAGTCTTTCAGCCCCATTGGGCCTCCAGAGCCCCAGTCTGGCAGTTTTCATGCCTAGCTCTCTCCCTCCTCTTATCTTATTTCCTCTCCAACTATGAGAGGAGGGGCTGGCTCCACCGGTCAAAGTCAACATACCCCACACGCCACGGTTGTGGGAGCAAAGGGCTGCACAGAGAAGCTGCAGAGAGGCAAGATCTGGGGGTGCTGTGGACAGGGGGGCGCATGTCTTAAAGGCACAGCCTCTTCCTTCCACTCCCATCCCCCAGGCCGGCTGACTCACCCCCGTCCTTCAGGTGGGGCCTTGTTTGTGCCCCAGTGGCCCCGGGGGATTGGGAGTCCTGCATGGCCTGGCCTCGCGTGTGACCTTAGGGGACCTGCTAACAACAGTCACAATACTGACGCAGTGCTTCCTGTGTGCCAGGCTCCGCTCTAAACGTTTATGTATATTAGCTCATTGAACACTCCCAACAGCCCTATGAGCTAGGTCTTGTTATGACAGATGCCCGTGTCCCAGAGGAGAAAGCAGGCCCAGGAAGGTTAAATGGCTCGCCCAAGGGCGTGCAGCTGGGGTTATTCCCCCACCTGACTGCCTCGGCTCAATGTCACTGGTGCCCGGTGGCCTCATCTATACCATTCACGGGTCAGGTTCCTATCCCCTGGGGAGGGGGGTCCCCTGCTGCCCTCGCTCTGCCTACCTCAGCACCCCCTCCTCTCCACCGCAGAGCTGGCCATGTCTGCCAACGTCACGCTGAAGCCGCTCTGCCCCATCCTGGAGCAGATGAGCCGCATCCAAAGCCACAGCAACTCCAGCATCCGCTACATGGACCACGTGTCAGTGCTGCTGCACGGGCTGGCCTCGCTGCTGGGCCTGGTGGAGAACGGACTCATCCTCTTCGTGGTGGGCTGCCGCATGCGCCAGACCGTGGTCACCACCTGGGTGCTGCACCTGGCGCTGTCCGACCTGCTGGCCACCGCCTCCCTGCCCTTCTTCACTTACTTCCTGGCCGTGGGCCACTCGTGGGAGCTGGGCACCACCTTCTGCAAGCTGTACTCCTCCGTCTTCTTCCTCAACATGTTCGCCAGCGGCTTCCTGCTCAGCGCCATCAGCCTGGACCGCTGCCTGCAGGTGGTGCGGCCCGTGTGGGCGCAGAACCACCGCACGGTGGCCGCGGCCCACAGGGTCTGCCTGGTGCTCTGGGCCCTGGCCGTCCTCAACACGGTGCCCTACTTCGTGTTCCGGGACACCATCCCGCGGCTGGACGGCCGCATCATGTGCTACTACAACGTGCTGCTCCTGAACCCGGGGCCCGACCGCGACGCCACGTGCAACTCGCGCCAGGCGGCCCTGGCCGTCAGCAAGTTCCTGCTGGCCTTCGTCGTGCCGCTGGCCATCATCGCCTCCAGCCACGCGGTCGTGAGCGTGCAGCTGCGCCACCGCGGCCGCCGGCGGCCCAGCCGCTTCGTGCGCCTGGTGGCGGCCGTGGTGGCGGCCTTCGCGCTCTGCTGGGGGCCCTACCACGTGTTCAGCCTGCTGGAGGCGCGCGCGCACGCCGACGCGACGCTGCGGCCGCTCGTGTGGCGCGGCCTGCCCTTCGTCACCAGCCTGGCCTTCATCAACAGCGTGGTCAACCCGCTGCTCTACGTGCTCACGTGCCCCGACGTGCTGCGCAAGCTGCGGCGCTCGCTGCGGAGCGTGCTGGAGAGCGTGCTGCTGGACGACAGCGAGCTGGGCGGCTTGGGGAGCAGCCGCCGCCGCCGCGCCTCCGGCCCCCG